CCCCGACGCTACTGAAGCTTTCAGAGGCTCACGATAGTGCTCATCATTTTAAGGTGTGTGTGGAATTTCGCCCTCATGGACTGGTCTGTCGATCCTCTATGCGCAGTGAGGGGTTTGGGGAAGTATAGTTTGCCATTACTACCGTCTGCTAGATAGTGGTACATCGTCAAGGGACACCCAACACAAATTTCTTTTCATTTAGTAATACGTCTGTATAATGTGTACCATAATAATGATAATATCACTCATTAATCGATAGTTTTAGGAGTTCAACATTTAAAATATATCTATACATATTTCGTCCTGTTCGGGACTCGTCAGCAGTGCGTACTTTTTGTGTCCCTGTCAGGACTCGAACCNAAACCGAATGGGCTAATCAAAACATTCTTCATCTAAATATATATATATAATGAAAGTTTTAGATATTCTGACATCACCGTTCCGGTCGTTCGAGACATTTTTATATCTTTCACCTTTTTATACGACGCTTCACCACCCCTTACCCAGTGCCGAATTTTTGCTTTTCCCCCAGGCTTTATTCCTGTTCATATTCCTCATCACCGGCTGCTTCCTGTGCTTCTGTTGCTTCTGCTGCTTCAATTTCTGTTGTGGTAAATGCAAACCGAAAATACCGGAAGATGAAGATTTGGAGGCGGCTGTAAACTTACAGGTGAGTCAGTCAGTCAGTCCCTATTTGCGCGCGCACGTTGTCAACTAATAGCACAAATTCCTTTTCTCTCCCTGACTCTGAACCATTTACATTTGTATCAGTGCCTACTGGGTGACAACGTCTTCGCCATACTTGTTTAGCCCACCATTTGAAATTTTTAACTATGACGAATTTATTTAAACTACTAACACTACGTCAACCGATGATGTGGAAACGAGGCATGAAGAAGTGCACAGCAATTAGATAGAATCGGTGTATCCCGTCTTCCAGGTTGGGGTTCTAAACACTGCAACTGGCTGGTTGGAGACACTGAAGGGTATGTCGACTAAACGACAGCAGTGGCGTTCTTGTTGTTCTTTCTCATCAAGTCAGAATGCTTGAAAAGGTATGTATGCATACTTAGATTGTGTGTGTGTGACCATATAGGTTTACTTTCTTTCCTACCCTTCAATTAGACCCGATCCCTTCTCATTTCGTGCTGCATCACTTTATTTGTGTACATTGTGAGTTTGGCAGCGATCAGTGAAGTTCGCTTCTCACTGTATCTCACTGTACAATGATGATGATGATGACGGCGAAGTTCGACAACTCATGTTTTGTCACTATACTGACCACGTCACTCGATTGCGTAGAGAGGCGATTAATAAACAACAGCAGGGTTAATTTTTTATGCCCCTTCGCTGTACACTGGTATCTTCAGTGGATAGTGTGCGTACAGGTGCAGTATTGCAATTTGGTCTTTTATTTTGGAATAGTGTTATTTGTCATGCGAGTTTGTCACTGACTCCGTTTTACACAGCAATGCGGGTATGCAAATTTTGAACACGCTTTTGATTCACAGTGAAGGGGCTCAATAAGCCGAATCCTGAAATTCTCATACGGTACTAGTTACTTTTGCTCGATACGGCCGCTGTGAGTATCGATTGCCCCCGTACGCCGCCGCACTCACCAGTTTGCTCACCATATCAGTGTGAAATGTCACACTTTCACTTCCGCCCCCTACCCCGCTAGTACTCGTTTGCTTTCTCTATCCGGTTGATTTATCAAACAGAGTGCCTGCTCGTTGCGAGCACCATTCTGATGAATTCGTTTGTTATTCATACATACGATACTGCCGTCGTAAAATTCCACATCAATCCGGAATAGGATGTTCATATCGCTTTTGTCCCTGGTAAATCTGCCATACCAAGTTGTGCATTCTGTTTCACTTTCCAATCGTCGGGTATAAAATCGGTTGAACTCCTTTGGATAATATCTAAACAGATTTAACTGGATAATTGTGGTCGGCACGTACTTTCCATGCGACGGTGTGCATCACCAACGAGACACAAGTCTAGTGCTTCCCGAGTGCGTTGTCGACTGACAGATTGTGCTCGAATGAAGCCTCCGTAATGATCAGTGAAAAATCACAACAACTTCGCCTTTATTACCCTGACTGACTGCTTGCTTGGTTTGTAGGGGAGGGGATGAGTTATCAGTGGTTCATTAAAACCTTTTATATTCTTTGTTATTGTTGAACGTTTACCAGATTCATCCCACGTGAGGAGTGCACGCGTGAGAACCAGGCTGGTTTTAGACCTGGTCGAGGTTGTATCGACCACATCTTTACTCTTCGCCAAATTCTGAAGCACCGACATTCCTTTCGTAGACCCACCATCTTTTTCTTCCTGGATCTTAAAGCAGCTTTCGACTCAGTCGACCGTTCTAAACTCTGGCGCTGCCTTTTTCTGAAAGATGTACCCGAGAAGTTAATTTCAATATTACAATCCCTTTATACTAATATCCGAAGTCGAGTCTGAGCTTACGGTATGTTTTCGTCCGAGTTCATCACGGAAAGTGGTGTTCGACAAGGTTACCCTCTCTCTCTATTGAACTTTATTATAGATCTGATTATGGAAACAGCCCTATCCTCGTGCGAGGATAGTGGCATCGATTTACTCTCAGGAGGCTGGCTGTCTGATTTAGAGTACGCAGACGACATTGTGAAGACGACATAAGTGAAGATCCAGGTAAGTTGCAAGCATTTCTGGATAAGTTGAATGCCAGTGTAGCCATATTCGGTATGCGTTTTGCACCTTCAAAGTGTAAAATGTTACAACAAGACTGGGTTGGTCCAGCACCCAGCCTCATTCTAACTGGGGAAGTAATAGAGCAAGTAGATAAGTTTTGTTATTTGGGCAACTACATCTCACCCGGTGGACGCATCACGGATGAAGTGTCAGCTCGCATACAGAAGGCTCGGTNTCTGTGAAGGGTCGAGTGTATGCCGCGACAGTTCGGCCAGTTCTGCTATACGGCGCAGAAACTTGGCCATTAAGAAAACAAGATAAAAACAGACTGTCGGTGTTTGAACACGGCTGTCTACGCAGCATTGCACGAATCTGGTGGGGTAGGTCCCGTCAGGCTCCCTGGCTGGGGACTTCGGGATGATCGTACCCGATGGTTAGATACACTGAGTGTGATGTGGCTGAATGTCGTTAACAGTGGCGCGCTTGTACATCTCAATTTCTTCGCAACCTTAGACCACTGTCTTTCTCGTAATGTTCATCCAAATGGGCATCCGAAAGATAGCAACCAAAACCGGTGCAAGATAGTTCATGGTTAATGGTTGTACAAACTGAAACTAAAGTGATTCATCTTTCAATTGGTTGGACACCCCAAGTACAGGTTCATTTCAGTCACAAGAAGGCAGTGAGAAGTTCTTCCCACCAATAACTATTTGAGACGCTTGGTCTTATAGGAGCATTTCCCTAGGTGACAAACAACAACCCAAGAC